TTTTTGTTTTCAAACCATTAGAGACATTATCCATTTGTAGACTGAATGTGTGATTTTTTACCAGCACTCTCCATCCCCAGCCATTTACTGTAATAATGTGCTCTCACAAAATCTCAGACTAAAACCCAAAATCGTCTCCCTAATGTGTACTCCAGTTGTGTTCTCATGTGCAGGCTCACTCTGAACCACAATATGAAAATTGATGTAATTGCTCTGTCTGTTTTCTACATGTGTGAACCATTGGCCTCCTCTATTTATTTATTTTGTTGCTGTTTTTCTCTCTCTCTCTCTCTCTCTCTCCTCACCCCTGTCCAATCTTCCTTATCACTTGCTCACTGTCGGTTCATTTGTTGTCTCTTTCCCCCCTCTCACGTATCTCCGGTTCTCTTTTACTTTCTTTCCTTTTTCAGCATTATATCTCTCTCTCTCTACTTCAGTGCTTCACTCCCTCTATCCCCCCTCAGCCACAGAGACCTGATTTACTTCCACTAGTGGCTGAAGAGAGGGGCTTTTGTCTGCCACCAGCAGCGGTCACATGGCGCCATGCCGGGGGTGACAGCAAGAGCGACGGACCTGCATTCTCTGCTACCCTCCCTCACAAACATGGGAGTGTGAGTGCGAGGGTGCTTGGAATTCACTGCATGCATGTGGGAATAACAGGGCTTGTGTAAGTGTGTGTGTATTTCAGATTGAGAAAGTTCCTTTTTATCAATGCTTGTTTGGACATCTCTATTTTGTTCTGTTTGCTCGCAGTTCATTTTTTTCCACACAAGCATAACAGATAACACTGCCGGTCGACCATCTGTATATCTGTGTAACACTCTTTCAGTGGGAAATATTTGAACAACAACTACTACATTTGTCCAAAATGTTTACTGTCACCACTAGATAAATGTTGGGTCACCAGTGATCTCTAGAATGTTTTACGTAGAGCCTATAGACAGTAAATGGACATAGCTTGTAACGAGCATTGGACAGGAGGGTTGATAATTGTATTTTACACACGTGCCCAAAGGACCCAACAATGATGGGTTTATGAGGCACCAGTTGCAGTGGTTTAACTGTTCATAACATACATGGGCTACAGTAGCTCAGTCTGCAAGGACCTGAGTTGGGAACCAGTGGGTCGCTGGTTTTAAGTCCCAGTGCGGACTAAAGCCTTCAAATTGGTTTGGTAGCTGAAGAAGTGCCGGTTCTCTTCCTGAGCACTGCTGACGTGTCCTTGAGCAAGGCACCCCACCCAGCTCAGGAGCCCTCGCTGTGGGCTGCCCCCTCACTCTCTCCATTACTACATACCCAATAGGATCCTGTTTGTGCATGTGTGTGTATTTCAGCCTAAGTGTGTGTAGCATGTCTTCTTCTTTAACATAGTTGCATGGAGGATGGCATCGGGGAGCGAGGGGAAAAGTGGGTTTATTGAGTCTTTTTAGATTTTACAGCATGAAAGACAGAGGATGCGTACATAGCAACATCACTGCTGTATAAATTAGCGCACATTTTGAAATATGAACTGAAACATGCAAGCCAAACAGAGTTACAAAAAAAACCCCAACACAATTCAGACTCCGCCTGTGAGGCTCACTTCAGCACTGTCATACTCTGTCTACATTAATGTAGAGCTGAGCATGACAAAGTCCTCTCCCCAAGTAGAAACTGTATCATAGTTAAACCCTTTTGGTTTGGGTCAAAACCTTTCTCCCTCAGCAGCTCTCACACAAGCCTCACATATTTCATTAGCCTTAGGTAAGGGCCGGAGAGTAGTAAAGTTAACCCTCTTACATTTATCTGCTATGTCTTCATGGGGTCACAGGTGTAGCTATAAACTTGTAGTTTTGTTCATATTTATATCTTTGTAAATGTCATGCTTATAAGAACTGAGGATACCAAGAGTGTGAGAGAGAGAGAGAAGAAAGCTAAATATGTGGTGTGAACGCTTGTAAGACAAAGATAATTATAATGGCCTTCAGTGTGTCAATGTGATTGAGGATGACAAGAGATAGATGAGAGGATAGAAGACAGAAAAAATCAGATGCTATGTGTATTGTGTGTCTGTGAACCTGATGGGTGTGCTTGAGTCGTTTTAATGGTAACCTCTGTGTGTTTGTGAGAAAGTATGTCTACGTGTTTCTCCATGTCCCAGAGTGTGTGAAAAGATATTAACAGCCCCGTCAAGTTGTTTGCAGGTCTTCATCAGCTTAACTCTTAGTGTGTTTAAACTGAGGCCTGGTGTTTTTGAGAAAGCAAGGTGTGTAAGGATCACAGAGCTGCTGAATCACTGATCCATACCGGTATTAAGTCCTTTTTTTATTTTAGGGGAAATTTTGGCTTCTATATGACAGAGACAGGAAATAGAGGGGAGAGAATGGGGGACGACTTGCATCACAAGTTCACAACAGGTGGCCCTGCACCAACTGAGCCAAACCATGCAGCACTCCGCTGCACATTTGCTCACACACAGGCGCTCCCATAACCACATCATCCCTGTCCGTCAAAAATCTCAGTTGGCTCCCTGTCCCGTACTGTATACAATTCAAAATCCTAACTCCTCACTCACAAAGTGCAAGGCCCCCTCCTACCTCACTGATCTTCTCTCCTACCTGACTGATCTTCTCTTCTTCCTCACTGATCTTCTCTCCTACCTGACTGATCTTCTCCACTGTCACACTCCTTCCTGTAGCCTCCGTTCTTCTGAAGCCTGACTCTTGTCTCCACCAATGAAAACCAAGAACTGTCCTGGGGGGATGGAGCCTTCTCCATAGCTGCCATCTCCCTGAGGAACTCCCTCCACAAACATATTCAAGACTGCACTGACCTATCCACATTGAAATCATTGCTTGAGACTCACCTTTTTAAACAAGCTGTGATGTGTGATTTTATTTGTTGTTGAATTGTTCTTGATTATATGATCTGGGTAATATTTTGCTATGTTTGATAGTTTCCTCCTAATACTGTTAATTCATTTACAGTGCCTTGACTACCTGGACAGTGGTTTTTAAAATAAACTGTATCACCACAGAAAGGGTATTTTAAAGTCAGTCTAAAATCAATTGCAACAAAAGGCAGCCAAAGACATTTGTACTTCAGTTGGCCTCTCACCTACTGTATTTTAAATCAATACCTGCTATGAAATGGCATGTGATTGAGTCCTCCATTCATGGAAGAGTATTATTTACCTAATCTACCAATTCTACTGACAATGCACCAGCCATGGATAAGCCTCAGAAATGGATGGATGGACAGGCAGACTGATAGATGATGGATGGACGAATCCACCATCAACCAAAATCGAGTGTACAAAGCGTGAAAGGTCAAAAATAATTTAAAAGAAAGCATTTTAAAACAATTGATCTCAAAACTGATGTAGATAGCTGAATTGATGTGATGACAGTAAAGGGTAAATTATACAGATGTTGAAATTTTACAATAATGACTTACTACCAAACATTGGTTCTCACACTGTATAATGGATAAGAATAATACAACGGCTGCATTGGATTGTATCATGGCATTGGGCTCTAATATAGGGCAGCTGTGGCTCAGGGGGAGGATGCATGGTGTTGAACTGATCAAATGATTGGCAGGTTCAATCCCCACATCCTCCAGATCACATGTCAAAGTAACCGTCTGCAAGATACTGAACCCAACACAAACCAAAGGCATATTTGTCTGAATGGCAATGAGCTGGATGAGATCCCTGTGGGTAGTCTGGCACCTTGAATGGCAGGCCCTTAGTGTATTAGCGAATTCAATTTGTGAATGTGTTTGTGGAATGTGAGTGGCCTTATGACTAGAAAGGCCCTATGTGAGCAAAGTCATTTTTTTACTATTTATCTTTGGCTCCTGTTACACACCAAACATGCCAAAAAAAAGACAAATATTAAAGCTTTATGCAGGCTGTCTTGCAGTGTAAAATCTATCAACTGATTTTATCGGAGGCAGAATCTGTATGTGAAGGATACATTTTTTTCCTGACATCTTGAAGGTGTGCTGGCTTATTGACCTTTCTGGATACAGTGGGCTTTGGCGGTATGCTCGGAAATAGTCCATGTGGAAAGCAAAAGAGGCGTCACTCAAGAACTATAGTGGAATACAAGAAACAAACAGCTCTCAGACCTCTACATATAATTGCAGCTAACAATCCATCCATAGGCATTGTGTCTCATCTCCAACTACATTATGGCAACTCAAGTTGCTTATAAACCAACCTTCACATGGGAAAAAAACGTCTTAGCCCAAATATCCTTTACTCCTTATCTATGACGACTACTAGCTACACACTAAAATACTCGTAATATACCATTTTTTCTATCCCCCTTAAGTCTATAATCCCATCAAACCTAGCTTTGTTATCAGCATGTTTGACACCTTTAACTGACCTCAGGGAAGGCTTTAACACTGACAGACCAGTGAACTGGATCAGGGGGTGTACAGGGTTCTGAACAGGAATGGGGTTGCATTTCTTCTTCATTATGAGACAATAATTGTCTCTGAGAAAATTACGCTTCGTCGATTTGCGTCGTGTAAATGGAGAGAGTGGAAAATGACAAGAGTGATCACAGACAGCCATCAATTGACCACAACCCAGGGAAATGTAAGACTGAAGGAACGGCTGCAAATATGAAACCTATCCTGTCCTGTCCCCCTTTTTTTCATCTCGTGTTTAAATTGATTCGGTCCTGGAAAGAGAACAAAAAAAAGAGCAATAATAGCCAAGCTCTCATTTGGGAAATTGGAGAGTACTTTCTCTGCTGCCAGCGACCTGTCTTTATAAATCCAACATGTTAATAAGTGAGTTACTGTTCAAAGCACCTTCTTGACATTGTGGAAAATGTCAGAGGAAGAAGCAAACATCAAACAGACAGAGATGAGTCAGACATCAATATATGAGCTATTTGATTTCGCATACTTGGTGCCAGACCAACAGTGAGCAGGAAACAGAAGCAACCCGCATGATCAAGACAATTATGGAATTCAAACAGCAAACAGCAAAAGAACATTACCTTTCTCTTGTTGTTTGGGCTCACGTATAAATAACTGAGTATTGTCTTCGCTCCCACTTTGTCGTTCAACTTCTGGTACGTCGCTCCGTAGTCAGTTGACCTGAAATGTAATCAGAAAAGGACTGATGAAAAAAACTGATGAATTACTTGTTGCAATTAAAAGTCCTCCCTGGAGAATTCTGTGCGAGGTGGGAATAGAGCTCTGACGTTATTAAGTCCCTTTTGTTCTCAATGCAGCGAGATGCAAGCTAGGAGGAAAGGCCAAGTCATTACAGTCGATGGGTGGTATGTACAGCAGGTCACGCACACAAACAACACAACCTGAAACCAGAGCTATCAATGAATGTCTAATGGTAACCTTAAAAAAAGAGTAACAAGTGTTTTATCAGTGCAGTTAAAAAGCAAGATTATTCTTCTATTGAACAATGGCAAATCCTGCAATCATAACAAAAGTGTTCTGAAATGTTAACACCATTTGTCAAATCTTAACACGCTCGAAGATGTGTGAGAATCGAAGTCTCTCTTCCCCTGTCTCTTCCCCCTTTCTGTGTGTGTTCATGTTTGTCTTCTGTGTGTGTGTGTGTGTGTGTGTGTGTGTGTGTGTGTGTGTGTGTGTGTGTGTGTGTACCATGTGTTTCCACATGGAGCTCGGTGTGGCTCCACACACTTTGCCTCCAATCAAGCCTGCACACCTGCTGCTCCTCTGCAATTAAGCCAGCTACAATTTCTAGGCCCGGCTCGGTCTTCCACTTGTCACCAGATCAGCCATTAACCCGGCACTGGTAATCTGTTAAAGGAGATCTTTTATACTCACTTTCACTATTAATTATACATCAGTCTGGGACACCTGATTAGTGTGTAGCTCAAAAACCTCCTTATTTATCTGACATGGCGTCAATGAAAACCCTCATTTCAGCCTCTGCCTGAAACAGTTCATTTCAGCTGCTGTCTCTTTAACCCTTTGACTTCCGCACTAAGAAATCCATTTGCAAAAAAATATTTGTTGATAAAATTGTGTTCCTGCCTCTTCATTAAGCAACATTTCAGGTTATATTTTTCGGATTACCCAATCAGGAAGCAGGTATGCAGGTCAACCAGCTGTTTAGGGTTACTTTGGGTATGAATGGATTTCTTTCGTTTCTGCAACAAAATGTTTAGTTTTTTCATATATAAACATCACAGAGAGTAGAACTTGTTAAAATAACCTATCATTTATTTAACAAATTGAATGAGTAGCAATTGAATGAGGATTAACAGCCAAAGATCGGTTTTCAGAGTTTTAAATACAGCAATATGGTGGCGGAAATAAAGTCAACCACGTGATTACAATGCAAGTCAAAGGGTTAAGGACACCCTCGATGTGACAGCCAGTGTTTCCTTGGCAACAATAAACATGTCTGTCTGTAACATATATTAATATAAAAATTAAGGATTTCTCTGGCTTTTAAAAACAGTTGGAAATATTTGTAAGATATGATGTAATGTAGGTATTCAACTAAAACCAAAATAAAAATTCTGATATTTTATTATAAAAATTCTACATATTAAAATTTAAAGCTTGATTATAAAGAAGAAGAAAAAACTCAGCTACAAGATCTCACCCCGAAAAATCCAGCATGTCTTTGTCTCAGGAGTCTCTGGAAACTCTTTCAGTCTCTCTCTCACAGCCTCAGACCTTTGCAGAATATTAGCGTCTCCGTTGTGTTGCTTTCAACTTGTGCTAACAGTTTAATTGTTGTGTGATTACTCACATGCTGGGATTTTGGTCTCAATTTTTCGTCGTCCGACAGTTTACATCATGACATTATACGAAATTGACCTGTTTTGATGCCTATAGAGCTTGATGTGCTTATTTTGTCGCTAATGATCGATGGACACAATGATGGATCATTTTATGCAAACTATTTCAAATGAGAGACACAGAACAACACATTTGTTTTGTTGCTTTCTTATTAATGACCTGATGTGGAATCTTTCATAAAGATTTAAAGCAGCTGTGGAGGACAGAAAAACAATTACTCATTAATCTTAATGAAACATGACAGGCTAAAAGATACCTGAAAACAATCAGTTTAGTTTCGCTGAGAACATGCTTGGTTGTTCATTGTGTTATAGAAGCTCTCTTCTTCCCCACAGCACTTTTAAAGTACTTAAACATGTGTTTAAATAGCTAAAACAACAAGGACTGTTTCATGTGGGTGAATGATCCACAAGCCCTTTGTATGACAAACCAAAAAAAATAAATACTTGATAAGTGCCATTGTCATTTGCTCCTCCTCTCCTCTCATGCCTCCATCTGTGTTTGACCTTTGGTTTTGTCTAACGTGATCGGGACACAGAGGCAGTTAATGATCCTACCAATAGCCACAAAATCAATTGCTCTCTTATTTGAGCCTAACAAAAAAGAAAAGAGACAATTATGAGGGAAAACAACCAGATTGAGAAAAGCAATAATCGAAAGCAATAGCATTTTCAGACTTATTTTAGAAATATATATCCTTATTGGAGATCATATCTTTCATTATTCAATGTTTTATCTTTTTCTTATTTACTACTTTTACTTGTCCATGCCCATTGGCAGGCGTTTAAAGACCTCTCCAGATCTGCTGAGAAGGGTTTGTCAGTGGCTCTTGCTGAAGAGAAAGGATTCCTCCTGGGCCCTGAGGTGAGCAGACGGCCCCTCGGGAGTGAACTCACGACACCAGGATCCACTGCTGAACCCTCTGGAGGTATCACAGGCCTATCAGCGAAACACCGAGGAAGGACGGCGTCCACTTGACAACCCACAGGATGCCATCTCTCACTTTTGTATCCCACAGAGTCACAGTGTCTATAGTGTGCATGTAAGGGACATTAACGCCTCCTAATGAACGATATGTCTTCAAGATTTTTTTTGAGACGAATTAGAAAATTTACATTTAATTTAGGTCTTAACTAGTGCTACTTTTTGTCTATGAGATAAAAGACTTAAAGAGCATCTTATCCTAACTGTTACTTTGCTTTGGGCAAAAACTTTACAGACAAAGACGAGTGACAAGAAAGTTTTGAAAAGCAGCATCGAATGTGGGTTGAATTATTAAAATGTTGGCTACAACTCTAATGCAAAATTTGTGTTCTGTTGAAATTCAGCCTTTGGGACTGTCATAAAAAAAGTTGAAATGGATTATTTGTGCTCTCAGGTCTAATATAGTTTGAGCTGGCTGAGGCTCAATAAAGGAGCTTTCTCATTTCACATGAAGATAGAAATGAAACCCAAAACATGCAAATCTTAAAGATGCAGCAAAGACACCGCAGAAAAGTTTGTGTGACTTTAAATGAAGCGAGACTAACGTGGACTGATGTGGGTTTTTTTTTTATCTCCACCTTCTTTCCATGTAGCTGTTAAATCCAGACTAAAGACCTTTTTTGAAGGGTTCTGAGTTAACTGGAAGATTCACACTTTAAATCTACAAACAGCAATGGAAATACAGATATATTCATGGCACACAGGCAACTTTCTCACATTTACCAGCTCTTCTAATTTACTGCAGGCTCGTTCAAAAGTGAGCACATACATTGCCACCAGGCAAACTGGTCGGGTCCAGTAACATCCATCAGAAACCATCAACACCATGGGACAATGACATCATCAGACTATTGATCTGCTTCTCTGAGGCCTGGCTGTCAAAGAATCATTTAATTTAAGGGGCCAATGACTTATTTTTTAGTGTCATAGCAACTTTTAACACGAACCAATAAAATTGGCCAGGCCCTGGCAGATCCTGTGAAGATGAAAAGTTACAGCAAATGGAGAATGATAGTTTCTCAAGGACGATGATTCTGAGTGAAACTTGCCAGGGACTTTTGAAAAGGCCATTCAGTGGTTATGTGTGGGTGTTAAATGCAGCTCTGACCACGCTGCTGTGATTTCATCAGATGTGGGGATGTTGGCTCCACAGGGGTTGTAGATGAGCCAACAAACCAGACTGTCCACATGTTGGATCGAACAACGGGGGAGTTCAGGTCACATTGTTTTAGGACACAAGAATGACAACAGTCCTTTTACAATGACATAGCTCACTGCATCCAAGATATATATAGAAGGGCTTTGCCCTAATAAAAAGATGGTGGACATCTTCTGCAGGGTGTTTAGTCCCAATGATGCATGGCTGTTTGCTTGTTTTTATCAGATTTGAAATTAGGTACAGTTTTTGGAAATCTGATATTTGTATTATTTCATTGCTTCTAATTTGATCATTAACTTAAAAAACAGTGCAAATCAAAGGAACATTGAGTCATATAAGTTAAAACAACCCATTTGATAACACCCAGTTGACATCCTCTAATGTTAGCGTTCAGCCTAAAACTTACTAAAAACTGCCAGCTAGCTAGCAAACTTTGACCATTGCCTCTCTGGATTTTCACTTACAGTATGATCTTTTTTTCAGCTGCTGTTACAGCTTATGAGCGCCACACCCTTTGAGTGGGTAATGGCCACCATGTGCATGGAGAATTACAACCTGAAACACACTCTTTCACACACATAATTACAATCAGAAGAACAAAACGTCCTGCAATTTAACCAGTTCGGAGTGTGAGAGCTGCCTGCCTTTTAGGATAGTTAAAATAAGGTCAGTCCTTGCATTAGTGAGCGAAGAACACCAGCAGTGAGGTTTGAGAAATCAGGAAAATGGCTGCAGAGATGATTGTTCCAGGATGAATTTATGAGACCCTTCACACTCACCCACAGTATATATCTGCTGAATATCAAGCTAAATCATACCCTTCACTCCCTCCCTTCACATACGCAATTCCTTTCCATTTTATTGCTGTCCTTTAGTGGCAAACTTCCACTCTTAAAGCCAGAAATATTCAAGTCTTTAAGAGAAAAGGGTGTCATTATATGACAGTAACTTCCTGTTGAATAAGCTTGGGGTGTGTACTATTTTCGTGGTTATAACTTAGATTATTAAAAACTCGACCTTTCTGCTTTTCAAATGGACAAATCTGTACAATTATCAGGATTTTTCTTTGTTTCAGCAATCGACTCTGACTTTCTTTGGTCCTCCAGGCAGGCCGACCGGGTTTGGGTCTGTCCTGAAGCTTCTTTACATTCCCCCT